GCCGAGCAGAAATTGTAGCTATGCTTCCAGGTTAGAGTGCATTCTTGACATGCACTAGCTTCCCAGCACCAGCAGCTATAAATTCTCCCATGTCAGTGTGAACCTTGACGGAAAGCTGCATCAAAGTTGATCTTCACACAGCCCTCATTGGCGCGCTCCCATGTATGCACGCTCGGGCTTGCTTGGGCCAGCGTTTTTTTCTGTTCCAATGTGAACTCTTTTTTGACAAGCCGCATCTTTTCAGCATTACAGTGAAGCTTTTATCTTTATTTTTAAAAAATTGGCGAAAATCCAGATCCATTGATCATCTAACGACGACTACAAGTGAGTATATGGATCAACCAATAGATAGATAGGGCCAACTTATATCAACAGAAACATGCTCGGTTTTGTATTTTTGGTAGTATGCAAATGTGGAAATTAGTATTTCCAAATTGTGCACATGGTTCAACCTTATTGCAGTAATAGTCCCAAAAACAAAAGGATACATCATGGTAGTTTCTTAGAGCATCTCTAGCCTCGCCCCCAACAAGCCCCCCTCCCCCCCAAGGCCCTTTTTTATTACCGGCACCGAAAAAACGGCCCAGTCGCGCCTCCAGAAACCCAAGCCGAACCCGACGTGCAGATGGCGCCGAGGAAAACGGTTTTGGCGCGAAAGCCTGGCGGGCCCGCCCAGTCAGCGGCCCAGCACGCTCTTCGTCTTCATCGTCTCGGTTTCCCGCGGGGAATCAATGACAAGGCTGCCGCGTCGATCAGCCTTTCATTGATGTCTCACGGGCGGCACACTGAAGGCACGACGACGCGCGTCCCGCCACGCGTACACACGCATGCCGCCCGCTCACCGCCCCCGCCTCTATAAAAGTCGGCCCCTCCCTCGCTGGTGAGCGCACACCCTCCATCGACACAGAATCTTCTCCCCCTCTCGACCTCACACCGCCGACGCGCGTCTCTCCTCTCTCCCCCCGACGACAAGCATGGCAGCGCGGCAGCTCCTAGACGCCGCGACGAATGGAGACGGCAAGTTCCTCGTCATCGGGCTCCCTCTCCTCCGGCTCGCCAGCGCTGCGCCCCATCAAGGCGGAGCCACAAGAGACGGCACTCAGGCGCCACACCCGCGGCGGCGCCCTCGTTATTAACGAGGGCGGCCGTGGCCCCTCTCCTCCCTCTTACCGCATCGTCCGCCCAAAGACCGAGCCAGGGCTGCTCCTCGTGAAGAAGCACGAGGCCATGGCCGCCGCCAACGAGACCACCCTCAAATGGGAGTGGGAGGATT